CTCTTGCAAGGAATTATGAAGCTAATTGAATGTACTTCTAGACCCAGAACATGCAACTAGCTTCACAGTTTCTTCAAGGAGTTACCTTTTTTTGGAATCCCTTGAGCAGAAAGTTGGAAGGAGGTTCCAGTGGAGAGATGCAATAGATAGTCTTTGGATTTGAAGAAGACGCACTGTTGTTTAGCTCATCTGTGAACACAGAAGTAGCTGTGCAAGTGCAGAGTCTAACATTGGAAGGCCAACATTACAATAGCAATGAGTGTGTTACTCTGTGATGCCACTCACAGTTTTCCATCAGTTTTTGATGTATCTGTCTCCAAAGTTAGGTGAAAGACTATAGACTATAGATAAATTTATTATGGTTCAAGACCAGTACAAAAGTAACTTAACCAAGCAGGATCCAAAAGTACAAATAACAGTTTAGTAGCCTAATTCATGGTGTCCCTTTGTTAACAAGGCTGGATATGACATACCTTTATGGCTAAGGCATGCAATTTATCTATTAATGCACATATGGCATTATGCCAAGGTTGCTTTTTTGTAAGGTTATGCACATACAGTCATAAATGATAAAGAAGAAGAGAAATGCAAATTTATGGCAAGGAAAGAGAATCTATAAGAAGTGACCTATTAAATCAGGTTACGATTGGTTAAACTGTTCTAATATTTGGTGTTCATAGAGTGGCCAAACAAATGCATTCTAGAAGCTTACATATGTGGCCAGGAAAATGCCAGCTGATAAATCTTCTAGTTCCCCTGGCTGGGTATCACAGTAATGTAGAGTTCCCTTCACAGCACCTTTGTAGCGATTGGGTAGATGACCTTGAGGTCTTTTTCCAGCGTCCACCACAGAACAACAGGTGAGGCATAGGACGGTCACCCATTCTGATGAGGTGTCCCACTCATCTCATCTGGGCTTTGATCGTCAGGGACTCTGTGCTGGTGGACACCACCCAATCCAAGTTGGAGACAAGATCTTGCCAACAAATGCCAAAGATGGAGCAGAGGACAGATTCATGATTTTAATGGACAGATGTTGAAAGTAGTTTTATCATTGTCTTAACAGGTGCAACCTGTAAAAGAAAAAAAGAGCCCCAGCCCTCGGCAGCTGCCTCCTGCTGTGACCTCCACTGTAGCAGCTGAGTCTCCCCCCAGTTCTGCAAAGCCCCACACCGCCTCCTCCCGTCTCAGCCTCCACATCATCGTCTCCTGGGTCTGGAAGATCTTCAAGAAACCACCATCAGCACAGCCACAGCCTAGTACCAGCGGTGAAACGGAAATAGGAGGCAGCAGGCAGCCGTTGACCTCTTGGCTAAGACTGTGGCTCACTCAACGCAGCAGCCGCATCCATCCCAGGCCGCCATGATATTGGTGATCCATCTCTGGGGAGAGTCAGGAGACAGCTCCTTGGGGGATGTGGAATATTTTTCAGAAATGGATGGTTTCCATTAAAATTCTGCTTTCCTCTTTTGTGCCAAAGACAGAGGGAGCGTGGAAAAAAGAAAGAGTGGAATATATTTGCTGTGATTATGAAGGCACTGGAAACCTCATAGGTTGGATGTTGGGTGGGGCGACCTGGCTACTTAATTATTATGCTTCCTCACAAGTCAAAATAGGCTATGACGATCTCAAAGGTGTTTTTTCCAAAAGGCAACTAGACTGTTTTTTCCTTGAGGAAGATGTTTCGCTTCTCATTCAAGGAGCTTCGTTGGAGCTCATTAGAGCTGATGAAGCTTCTTGGATGAAAAGGAAAACATCTTCCTCAAAAAACAAAACAAAACAAAAAACCCACCAGTCCAGTTTCCTTTTGAAAAAGCACCTTTGAAACAACTATGATCTGGATGACTAAGAATCTACTCAGACAGGCTAAAGCAGTGTTTCCTCAACATCAGCAAGTTTAAGATTCGTGGACTTCAACTCCCAGAATTCCTCAGCTAGCATGAGGAAAAAAAATCTGGCTGGAGAATTCTGGGAGTTGAAATCCACACGTATTAAACTGAGGTTGAGAAACACTGGGCTGTTTTAAGATGGTGCTTACTGGCATTAGGGCTGTGAAAAATACAGGTTTGAAGAGCAGACTCTTAATTTGAAATACTTATAGGAATCCTCTAAACTACATATTTTTCTAAGATTACACAATCACTACCCTTCAATTGCCCTTCCAATCCAGTTTTCAGCAAAACCCACCATGTTCCATGACTAAGAAAGGACTATTCTTGGCTCACAAATAACCTTTTACCCATATATATGCACCTAGACTGCATGACACAGTATTACGAAATAGTCAACCTTAGCCTGCCTGTTGAGCAAACTCACTCTATGTGGTTCATTTATGCTTCAGTGTGTCGTATAAAAAGGTAGACAAAGGAGTAAATTAAGATGCTCGTTTAACTAATTCTAACAATTATTTTGAGCCTGTAATGTGAATAGCCAAGGAGAGCTATTTAGAGGCCTCCCCATATAAACAACACTTGGGGTTCTCAATCAGAAAGCAATTTTACCTGCTGAGCCAATTTTTACAGAATATCCCAGTAATTCCGTGATAATATTTAGTAAGACCAAGAACATCTGGAAAGCCTTTCATGTACGTATCTTCATGTAGTGGAGAAAAAGGTTGGTTTTATATCTGCTTTCTAGAACTGACCTGCCCAATCTCTTATCATCTGAAGTGTGTCCTGCAATCTACACCAGGGGTCCCCGGTCCCTTGACCAGTACCGGGCCGCACAAAAAAGCAAAGCCCATTTGCGGGATGCAGGCAACACACAAAACAACACACCCTCCGGTCAGCGGAAAAACCTCTCTCTACGTAACTGGTCCCTGGTGTCCAAAAGGTTGGGGACCTCTGGTCTACACAGCTTATGGCTAGACTCTCTCATCGGATACCCACAAGGTGTGGGCCAAAGAATGTCTTCCTCGCTGGGTATCCTTTCTCCCCCGATTTTCTTAAAATGCTACAAATCCCCAGTTATCTTTATCGACAAGACAACATCTGGGCCCTACAGACCTCAGATAATTAAAAAAAAGTTTGGGAGATGCAACTCAGCAATTTGCTCTTGTCAGGAGAAAGCGTAAAGGTATGACGGCAGAGACCATGTGCGACTAGAGAAGAGGGTAGATGAAACGCCAGCAACCAACTGCACCCATTTGCCTTCTGGTAAATGGGCATTTTGGGATTAGCCATGCTCCCCAACCTCTGTACGGCAAATAGTTTTGTAATTAAAATTCCAGAATTACAGTCCCCATTCAAAGATGATAAATGTACCTCCCTTTGGAATCATCAAAATTTGCTAAAGGCTCTCCCAGAAGTAGGTTAACATATCGGCCATGGGAAAGGAAAGGAACCAGGATCTTGCCCTACCTGATTGTTTTACAATACAGGTAGTCCTCGACCTACGAGCACAAGTTCAGCCCAAACTTTCTGTGAGTTCTAAGTGACATTTAAGTGAATTTTGCCCCATTTTACAACCTTTTTTTGCCAGAGTTAAATGAATCACTGCAGTTGTTAAATTAGTAACACGGCTGTTAAGTGAATCTGGCTTCCTCGTTGACTTTACTTGACAGAAGGTTGCAAAAGGTGTTCACATGACCCGGAAGCATTGCAAATGTCATAAATATGAGTCGATTGCTAAGCATCTGAATTTTGATCACGTGACCCTGGGATGCTGAAATAGTCATAAGTATGAAAAACGGTTGTAAGTCCCTTTTTTCAGGGCTGTTGTAGCAGACTTTTTTCAGCTAGCAGATTTTGTGCTGTTAACTGCAGGCAGTCCTCCACATGTAATAATACTAATAAAATTGGAAGGGACCTTGGAGGTCATCTAGTCCAACCCCCTGCTCAGGCAGGAAACCCTATACCATTTCAGACAAATGGCTGTCCAGTCTCTTCTTAAAAACTTCCAGTATTGGAGCATTCACAGCTTCTGATCACATATGATCCTAATGGAGCCTGCCCATTATGGTTATACGCTGTGACCCTTGCAAATTGGGTTGATCATACAATCCACCCGATTTTACAACCTTTTTTTTTTTGTGGTGGTCATAAAAATCCCCGATTGTTTTTAAGCAAACCAATTGGTCACTATGGTGTGATTTTGTTGAAAACTGGAAGTTACTTCCAAGTTTTCAACAAAACTGTCGTAAAGCACAGTAACATGATCACAGAACACTGCAAATGTCCATACATGTTGTGCTGCCGAGTGCCCAAAAGTATGGTCATGTGACCTCAGCTCTCTCCCATCCCCTCAAAGTATTAGAACTTCAGAACCAGGCCGTGGCCACCATTTTGCAGGTCAAAATTGTCATTTTGAACAGTTGCTAAGTGACTAGTTGTTAAGTCAAGGACCACCTGTATGCTCATACACTGATTCCTGCAGGCCTCATTTCAGAAAAAGATTACAGGAAATCTCCAGTTAAAGGGATCAGGCAACAGATACAGAAGAGCCACTGGAAGACTGTAAGAAAATGAACTGACACAATAAACAATATTGACCTAGTTCAGGGGTAGGCAACCTTGGCTCTTTTATGACTCGTGGACTTCAACTCCCAGAATTCCTGAGCCAGCCTACCCCTGACCTAGTTACACCCAATGAAAGACACTTTCCTGATTAAACCAGGCCTTTGATAAGAACTGGGAAGATAATGATCTTTAGGAAAAGGAATATAATTCAATGTCATAGTCATTCTTTCCTTGCGGAAGGACTGATCCTAGAATTCATATGGATCAGGGAATAGGCAATAGGAAAGTTTTTACTGGAGAAGCTAGGAGTCTGCAACATTGGGCTATGTAACAATTTCACCAGTCTGTCTGGTTAAATAATATCCAGAATGAAGTATATATATATCGCTCTGGTTCATGAGCAAAAGAAAAAAGAAAAAAAATCAAAGCTAGGTCACAATAGAAGCAACCTGGCTACAAATAGGATCATGTATATTTTTATATATTGTATCTGGCAATTTTTGCACAGGCAACCCAAATTATACATTAAGGAAAGTTAAACCATTTCCATTTGCATAAATTACACTGGTTTATTTAAACAATCCCATTTTGGAGAATTAATTCATCCTGGATTTTACTAATCACAGGGAGAGGAAGGCAGAAAAAGGAAAACAAAAACAAAAACAAATAAAAGGTCATTCTTTTCTGACCTCTTGGAGTACACACAAACCACAGCCCTCATGGGCTAGAAATCTGATTTAAATACATATTCAAAAGGAGTACAGATATTTTTGAAGTGCACAATGCTAGGATCCCACACTATTCAACTTCTCTTTTGCCCCTCATCAGGCGACACATCTACTATTATAAAAAATTGAGGGCAGGGAGGGAACAATTATAGAGAAAAATAAAAAGACAGCATGCACTGGCTGAACAGCATGATGACACATGGAGACAACTGGAATGGCTGAGGACAAAAAGTAGATCAGGATTTCAGGCAGCACATTCAAACAAATGGAAGCATTACAGCAGGAAGCTGGTAAGCTTAACGGTTGTCATAGTAACAAAGGCCTACTTGAGTAACAGAAACCTGCAGGGCAGGAGAGAAGACAGAAGCAAAACATGGGTCCCACCACCTGCTCTTCCCCTCTTCCCTTTTGTTGCTAAAATCTTTGAGACAGTTTGTACAAACGCTAGAGTTTCGTACACACACTGCAGGCGTCTCCCTTTCTTGAACATGGCAGCATCGTTGCATGGCGGCATCGTTGACATAGTACTGCCGCCCTATTTTTGACAGAAAGGCTGCTTCATGGACGCTGCCAACAAAACACAGCAAAAAGGGAGCCTGGGCCAGAAGCTGAATGCAAGAGAGTATGGATCATGGGCCTCCTGCTGCAGCAACTAAGTCCTATCCAATTCCAGAGGCATCAATACACTCTTCTCCTCTCAACTGCTCAGTCTGGATTTATTCCAATCTTTGCTTCCCTCTCCTACTCCGCATCCACAGGTGCTGCCCAATGGAGGGGGTTGAGACTTCAACGTGCCAGGCTTCCTTTCTGGCCAGTCCAGAGTTCCCGCAGCTCCACTTTGCAGCCCAGGTCCCTCAAGGCAGCTTTGGCCACATCATCACAGTCCCGATGGGCTGCCCGGGCTTCGGTGATCAAGTTCTCCGCTCCCATCTCCAGGATGGGCTGGGAGAAGTCCTGCGTATGCGAGACCAAATTGCGAATCAGCATACAAGCTTGCTTCTGGAGAGAAAAGGAAGGAAAAAGACAGATGTGATTATCCAGGACTAATACAGTCTATCAACTTTTTATTTTGAGAGAGGCAGTTTGGTCTACTGATTAAGACACCAGGCTCGAAACTGGGAAGCCATGAGTTCTCGTCCCGCCTTAAACATGAAAACCAGCTGAGTGACTTTGGGCCTGCCATGAGGAGACTGTGAGTTCTAAACCTGCCTTAGGCATGAAAGCCATCTGGGTGATTTGGGGCCAATCACTAGGAGACTGTGAGTTCTAGTCCCACCATAGGCGTGAAAGCTGGCTGGGTGACTTTGGGATGATCACCTGAAGATTGTGAGTTCTAGTCCTACTTCAGGCATGAAAATCAGCTAGGTGACTTGGGACCAGTCCCTTTCTCTCTCAGCCCAAGCCCACCTCACAGGGTTATTGTTGTAGAAAAAATAGGAGAAGGAAAGATCATAAGATATGATTGCCACCTTGAATTGTATGTAAAAAATAATAGAGGCGGGATAAAAATAAAATAAATTTTATAACAGGGTAGAGGTTCTCCTCCATTGGCCTTTTTTCTGCTAGGACCTTTTCAGCTTGGTGTTCTCTAGTCTAGATAGGTTCAGGACAGTCAAACAATTTATATTATTACAGCCAGAAGGCCAGTATGGCTGTCACTGCTTAGGCCTTGATAATGGACTGCAAATCACCTGGGAATCTAGCTGCGGACTCTTGTCTAGCCCTGCTTCTTTTCCTGCACTCCACTCGTCTGATTATCCAAATTACTTCCCACCCCCCAAAATAGTTTAAATCCTTCATGTGTAATAGCAGAATTCTTGCAATAACCTGTTGTATAATTTCTGTTTGGGGCTCCTTTTCTTTTATGCTTCAACATGAAACTCTTGTCCTACTAATCTTAGAGATCCTCTAAAGCAGAGTTCTCCATACTTGGCAACTTGAAGACTTGTGGACTTCAACTCCCAGAATTCCCCAGCCAACGTGGCTGGCTGAGGAATTCTGGGAACTGAAGTTCACAAGTCTTCAAGTTGCCAGGTTTGGAGACTCCTGCTCTAAAGGATCTATTAGTTTTGCTGCTACCACTAAACTCTTTCCTGCTATGGATTTTTCTTTTCCTCCTTTATTTCTTTGCCTATGTATGATGTGGCATGACTTGGTGGAATTTAGAGAAGATATAGAACAGTATACTTACTAAAATTCTAGCTTTTATTAAATAACTTTAAATATGTTTTATGCAAGTTCCCTTACTATTTCAGTTCAAGTTAACTTTCTTTAATAAATTCATCAATCTATCACTCTCACAGTGTCTAACCTAGGGCTAGACTCCCAGCTTCTCTTAGATCTATTCTTTATCTACACTATCCCAATCCATCTCCCCTTGTTTCCTCCAACTCTTTTAAGTATATAAACTAGTAGGAGAGGACCCATGTTACTACAAATTAAGTCAGTGTTCTCAATTTTGGTAACTTTAAGACATATGGATTTCAACTCCCAAAATTCTCCAGTCATCCATGCAATTTTTGTTGTTAGTTGTGAAGTCGTGTCCAACCGATCGCGACCCCATGGACAACGTTCCTCCAGGCCTTCCTGTCCTCTACCACCTTCTGGAGTCCATTTAAGTTCACGCCAACTGCTTCAGTGACTCCATCCAGCCACCTCATTCTCTGTCATCCCCTTCTTCTATTGCCCTCAATCTTTCCCAGCATGAGGCTCTTCTCCAGTGAATCCTTCCTTCTCATTAGGTGGCCAAAGTGCTTGAGTTTCAACTTCAGGATCTGGCCTTCTAAAGAGCAGTAAGGGTTGATCTCCTCTAGGACTGACTGGTTTGATCGCCTTGCAGTCCGGGGGACTCGCAGGAGTCTTCTCCAGCACCATAGTTCAAAGGCCTCAATTCTTTGTCGCTCAGCCTTTCTTATGGTCCAACTTTCGCAGCCATACATTGTAATATGGAATGTTAAGAGTGGGAAATTCTGCTTCAGGAATCCTGTGAGTTGAAATCCACATGTCTTAAAAGTTGTCAAGGTTGGGAAACACTGTTTTAAATGACATTCATATATTCAACCATCACATTGCCCCAGGATTCCCAAGGCTGAAACTAATTTCCCTGACAGATCTTTTGTAATGCTTTTTGGAAGGGTTACAAGATACACCAATTACCTTTTCTAACATATTTTATATTTCCTAAGAGTAGGTACAATACTGCTTTGATATAAGCTACCCCCAGCAGGTATTTGGATGACAAATAAGCTACCCTCTGGGTTTTTGGATAACAATAAAATGTATTTGGATAAAGCAGTGGTTCTCAACCTTTCTAATGCTGCGACCCCATAATACAGTTCCCCATGTTGTGGTGACCCCCAACCACTTATACATCACCGGGTGCCAGGGGCGTGGCCAAAGAAAAGGGAAAAATGGCGGACAGCCTTGTTTGACGACCCCCATGAAATGGTCGTTCGACCCCAAAGGGGGTCCCGACCCACAGGTTGAGAACCACTGGGATAAAGGTTAAGATTCTTTAATAAGTACTAGGTGCCAGATGACCTCCAAGGTCCCTTCCAACTTTACTATTATTATTATTATTAGTCACAATTTGAACGCTTTATTCATTTATATTTCATATTTGTAGACTTCCCATCTACCTCAAGTGCACTTGCAGTACTCTGCATTTTTATCACGCTTGTTCAATATATAGACCCTAGCGGGTTTTTAAAGAGTACTAAACCTGATTTTTTTCCACAGGTTTCAAATGGGTATGCTCAGAATTGTTTTCTTGCAGTCTGGGGGTTTATTTAAATAGAGTGCTTATTCTGTTCCCAGGCAACAGTATTTATTTATCTTTTAAATCTTACTGACAGAAAAAGGCCTCCAAGAGTCCAGAATATAAGCCCAGCAAATAAATAAATATATATATTTTTAAAAAAATTAAAAATAGATTTAAACATTGGTTTTAAAGAGAAAACAAATCCAGTAAAATTGGCAGGGGAAGGACACGGAGGTATTGCAATTATCTAGTACAGTGTTTCTCAACCTTGACAACTTTAAAATATGTGGACTTCAACTCCCAGAATTCCCCAGACAGCATGGCCGGCTGGGGAATTCTCGAAGTTGAAGTCCACACATCTTAAAGTTGCCAAAGTTGAGAAACACTGATCTAGTAGTCAAGAAGAATTAGCTGGTGTTTCCCGATTCCTTTGGCAATTTCAAGCTATTTGCAGCCCACATCCTACACATCCATTCCCAGGGGACAGTCCTGCCACGAGGTTTTCTCAGATATAGAAACAGGAAAGTCAGAAAGGCTGTGCAGGGACGGTGAGAGGTCTAACAGAAAGGAGGCCTGGCCTTAACGAAAACCCATGAAAGTTATCTGACAGCACTCTGGAAATGGGAAAAGAAAACAGGAATGCCTTTCATGGGAAAAACAGGAAGGCAGCTTCCACCAGAAATTTCTATGAGGGAAAAATCAGAGACTGTTGCCATAGCTACAGATCGGTTCTATAGCATGATTTTTCTGTTTTGCCAAAGGAGCACTCTGTGTGTGTGTGTGTGTGTCCGCATGCGCACACGTGCATGTGTGTGTGTGTGTATCAATCATTCATTCATAATTAAGAATCTGTCTATCTCATTTTTCTGTGGTAGGTCATCCCTGGAAATAAAAAAGAAATAATAATAATAACTCTTTTGGCCTTATAGTATTAACAGTATTTCGAAGAAAAAAAATAAAAGAAATGAAAAATCTCTATCATCTGTCTAATCTAGTCCATATCTATCTATCTATCTCCGTATCTATCTCTGTATCTCTGTATCTATCTCCACCTATCTCTGTATCTATCTATCTATTTCTGTATCTATCTATCTCTGTATCTCTGTATCTCTGTATCTATCTCTGTATCTATCTCTGTATCTATCTCTGTATCTATCTCTGTATCTATCTCTGTATCTATCTATCTATCTATCTATCTATCTATCTATCTATCTATCTATCTATCTATCTATCTATCTATCTATCTATCTATCTATCTGGACTGGCGGAAAAGCATGAAAAGAGCTGTGGTCCCAGTGTGGGAATAATGACATCACCTGCACAGCAACTTCCTTGGGGTGTGTCTTCATGGCCTGCAGAGCTGCCAAAGCTCCCCCGCCTTCCATGATGACTCTGCAGTTCTCTGGCTTGCGCAATGCTAGCATACACAATGCCGCACAGCTTTGTTCACACACCTAACAGCAAGAAGTGGTAGAGCCATTAGCAAAATCTTACCCAGCTCCCAAATACTGAAACATTCACTACCTCAGCTCACATCCATGCTAAATCAGGACTTTTAAACCATGGATACAAGCAGGCTGGGACAGCCTAAACCAGGACTGGGGAACTATGGCCCTTTTATGACTTGTGGACTTCAACTCCCAGAACTCCTGAGCCAGCCATGCTGCCTCAGGAATTCTGGGTGTCGAAGTCCACAAGTCATAAAGGGGCCATAGTTCCCCACCTCTGGTTAAACCATAGTTATCCAATCTTTTGGCTTGCCTGGGCAACACTGAATGAAGAATTGTCTTGGGATGCATATAATACATAACATATATACATACATACATGCATACATACAACAAATTTCCTTTACTTTTTAAATATTTTTAATTATTGTGTGGGCCGCGTTACTAGCTGTCCAGGGCTGTATGTAGCCCACAGGCTGTTGGTTGAACATGCCTGGCCTAAACCATTCATGCAGGGGGCAAGGATTATCTCAAATATCACCCTACACCAAAATAAGTACATCGTAGGCTAGTGCAATGTGTGAAACCCAATATTTTGTTTTTATAGTTTCAGGTACTTGAAAATTATAATAAATTATATTTGATATATAGCTGCATTTCTTAAGTTTAGATTCACACTGAGTCGCAGGGACTGCAGCCATAAGCCTGTAATTAGCATATGATTATATTTTGTAATCATGTAGGCCAGTGCGTCTCAACCTTGGCACCTTTAAGATGGGTGGACTTCAACTCCATGGCTGGCTGGAGAATTCTGGGAGTTGAAGTCCATCCATCTTAAAGGTGCCAAGGTTGAGAAACACTGATGTAGGCTATTCATTATATTTTATAATCAGGTAGGCTATTACAGGCCTAAGGTTGCATTCTCTGCAACTCAGTGTGAATCTAAAGTAAGGATACACAGGTTTTTTTTCTTGCAGTGTCATACTTTTTCATCCCTCAAGACTTCTTTCTTTTACTCTATTCCCTCTGTTACATTAGTCATTTTTAAAATCTCAGTTATAGTTGCTACCATCACATCAAACAGGGATGTGAGTTCATTCCAAGGAAAGGTAACACAACTCCTGAGAAGGAAACGAGCATAGATGTATTACACAGAAATTAACCCAGTTTGCATTTGTTTATCATTTTTTCCCATTTCTTGCATTTAAAAAAGCAAACTAAACAAATAATTCCTATTTAAATCAGTTTTGCATTCATTACAGGTAGTCCTTGATTTACAACTATAATGGAGCCTGACCTTTTTTTTTTTGGCAGTCATTAGGGCCCAATATTTGCTATGGAACATTTTGCTGAAAACTAGAAGCAAATGCCGGTTTCCAGCAAAAATGTCATAAATTGGAGTCATGTGACTGTGAGATGCTGCCCATGGCTGTAAATGCAGGCTGACTGCTGGCACCTGAAATGCAGTCATGTGAATGTGTGTGTGGGGGGGAATCCATTGGAACTTCAGAGCTGGGTCATAAGTACCTTTGGGGATGTGTATGTTATAATTTGGAACAGTTGTAATTTGAAGACTAGCTGTACCAGATGAATGTACAACCTTATCAAGAGTTCAGATTCAGTTTTCCAGATGCCTTTGCTGGAAATGTTTTTTCTTTTTTAACCTAAATGGAAATACCAGATTATCACATTTTTCCCACTGAGAAAATAGGTGGGTTGTTTCTGTTGCTTTTGTAATAGACGGATTTGATGGCAAGCAAGGTCTCCTACTAGCACTAGCAGAGATGCCAAGGAAGGAGCAGCTAATTAGACCACTTGAAACAGAGCTACTTTCTCTGGGTGCAAACACTCCCATGTTCTCAACCTACCTGTGGGTTGCCAAGGTGGCGACTCATGGCCAAAATAATGAGATCGGTCCCTCCTGCATTGACAATGGCATCTTTTACATCATCATTGCCTGCAATGGCCCGGATGGCACTGAGCACCTGTTTCACCACGTCCTACAATTTGCGACAGAATGAGAAAGAGTCCCCAAGAAACTCAGAATACGTATTAGAGTTTAAAAAGAAAAAGCAAGAGCTACAGATCTGTGACGGATGAAAGCCCTAGCAAGATCCCTCTCTCCACCTTCAGTCTCTGATAAAAGTGAAATACTCAGTAGAACAGGGGTCTTCAAACTTGGCCCTTTTATGTCTTGTGGACTTCCTCAGCCTGAGGAATTCTGGGAGTTGAAGTCCACAAGTCATAAAAGGGCTAAGTTTGAAGACCCCTGCAATAGAACAATCAAGAATGTGGATAACCTTTTATTACTACTGCTGAAAAAGCTATCTATAAATTATTTCTGTTCATGTAAAGTCACATGTGCAATTTGAGGGACTTCCTGCCCCTGTGTGACTTTTGTACCAGAGGTAATCTTGGCCAATATTCTTTATTCTGTTTTGGCAAAATTAGGGGTAAAAGCAGTATATTCAAATGCTCCCAAAAAAACCTATTCCAGATGGGGCTGATCAACGCCTGTCCCCCATTTCTGGCATATTTTATATAGCACCATGGGTGACATCTTTCTGCAAGACCTCAAGCATCCATTTTGTACTTTTAACCCCACCAAATAACTGAGCAGAAAATTTTGCCTACATCCTTCCAGTGACAATGAAAAAAAGACAATCTCTCCGCAACAAAAGGGGCACGCTCAACTTATTTTTCATGCACGGAGAGACCATTTTGAAATCATTACACAGTAGGCCTCCTTGTTCTTAGACATGCGAGACTAGGACTGCTACGATGTGATTCAGAGTGTTATAGGAATCCAATCACTTGACTTTGGATGTCAAAAGATATCCGTTTCCACTGGGCTTCTTTCTTGGGCTTGCAAATTCTCTTGCCACAGACACCTCCAGTCTCTTGGTAATCTTGTGGTGGGAGACACACTAAAAATATAATGTAAGCCTTGAAATAGATTTAACTGTTTTAAAATACCTCCTTTCCCGCAACCAAAACCTATGCCCTTATTAACAGCACCCTGGTCACTTCAAAAACAGACAGAAAGTATGGGAGAGTCAATTAGCCAACTAAGACAAGCTGGATCATTTCAAAAATAAAGGAGAGATGGAAACTAGTCAGCTAGTCAAGTTGTCCATTAGGTATGGTAAAATGAAAAGTTAAATGCGCCAAAGCTTGAACCCATTCTCTTTCAAATGAACTTGTTCTGGGTCAGTGTTTCTCAACCTTGACAATTTTAAGGCATATGGACTTCAACTCCCAGAATTCCACAGCCAGCAATGCTGGCTGTGGAATTCTGGGAGTTGAAGTCCACATGCCTTAAAATTGTCAAGGTTGAGAAACACTGTTCTGGGTTAACTACAGCAGGGCTTTTCAACCTTTTCACCCATTGTACCACTTTTAGGATATGGCAATATTCGAGTACCACCAGTTGCTTAGCAAGGTGTCAAAAACTTGATGACCAAAAAAAAAAAGGAAAAAAGTGATAAAGTACAGGTAGTCCTCGACTTACAATAGTTCGCTTAGTGACTGTTCAAATTTACAATGGCCCTGACAAAAGTGCCCCCCAAGCCACAGCCGAGCAAGACACCTGCCTGCCCGCCTGGCGGCGCTCTTCCTCCTGTCCGAGGTTTTCATTGTTGTGAGCATTTCTGTTGAGGATTGGCAGCGGGGGTGGGGTGAGGGGGTGTTTGGTTTTTATTCCCCGTCTGCTGGGTAGTTGCAGCAGGTTTTAGTCACTTCACATGACCCTGGGACACTGTGACCATCATAAATATGAATCAGTTGCCAAGCATCTGAATGTAAATCACAAGACCCTGGCTGCAACATTCCAGCTGATCGGCGCTTCTTCTGGGCTCAGCAGAAGCACAGGGATCAGTGCTGCTTTCCAGCTGATTGGTACTTCTTCAGGGTTCAGCAGAAGCACCAGGATCAGAGCCGAACTCCAGCTGGAGCCTGGTGCTGATCCTGGTGCTTCCGCTGAACCCTAATATCCCTGCAGCTCCAGCCATCTCTTGCTCAGGCTTGTGCGGTGCTGCTACTGGTTCAGCTCATTCCCCTCCCCGCTACCACTTTTCTAGGATTGTCGCATACCACCTGCCAGGTGCCAATGTACCACAGGTGGTACTCGTACCACTGGTTGAAAAGCCCTGAACTACAGTTTGTCTTTGGAGATTCTCAGTCCCAAAGGTACTTTTTCAAAAGGCAAGTAGATTTTCTTTGTTTTCCCGTGAAGATGTTTTGCTTCTCATCCAAGAAGCATCCTTAATTCTGTTCTTGAATGAGAAGCGAAATATCTTCAATGAAAAACAAAAAAGTCCACTTGTCTTTTGAAAAAAGCACCTTTGGGATTATCTACAGTTGGTAAGATTCTTACCTAAGTGGTTTCAGCCTTGCTGAAGGGGGTGATAGCTGACAGTTAGATCCCTGGGAACCATGGCACTGCTTGTTCCTGAGCCATAAACAGAGTTTATTAAGCACATAGGGTATGAAGGATCCTTCTCTGTTTGAAGACATAGATAACTATGGTACTGGCGATTAGTGTTCACAACACTGGGCTAAAGAAACAAAATAATCTGTTGCAGTGTTTGGTGTTTATTGCTGTTTTTATTACCTGGTGGTCAATGCAGTCTGCCAACAGTGCCACAATGAAGTTTAAGCCTCCAAGGTCCATGATCTCCTGGCAAAATTCATTCCGAACAGACAGGCGTGCCAAAGTGGCACAGACTTCACTCAAAACACTACAGTCATCAGTGAAGGCTGAGCAGGAGAGAAAAAAAAGACAAAGCATCAGTACAGTTGCCTGTGCAGTACAGGTAGTCCTCAACTTATGATAACAATGGAGTCTGCCCATCATGATTTAAGTTGTGACTGTTATAAAATGGCTTGGACAAGTGACCAAAATGACTGAGAACTTTTTTTTGCCGTCGTGATTAAGCAAATGGCTGCAAAGTGGCAGTCATTAAGCAAATATTGCAGTTGTTAAGCAAACCAATGGTTTTCACTATGCGTGAGGTTTTGCCAAAAAACCAGAAGTAAATGTTAGTTTTTGGCAAAACCAACCACAGGGTGTTGCAAACAGCCATAAATGAGGTTGTGTTGCTAAGTGCCCAAAGTTCAGTCATGGACTGCAGGGGGAGGGGATCATGACCCTCAGAACTTCAAATCCGGATGGTTAAGTAGCCCCCTCATAACTCTGAACAGTCACTAAGTGAGCGGTCGTATGTTGAGGACTATCTGTGCAACACCAGAGAAGTGACCATAAAGCATGGAGCATGGGAAGGGCTTCAGAATTTGGGCCTCTGAAGTGCTCACGAACAAATACAAATAAAAGTCACGTTTTTTTTTAGTATCTATGGCAGTGATGGCAAACCTTTTAGAGACCAAGTGCCCAAACTGCAACCCAAAACCCACTTATGCATCGTCGGGTGCCAGGTGGGTGTGGCCCATTGGCTGGGTGTGGCCAATTGGGTGGGTGGTGGCCCATTGGCTGGGCACAGCTGCGGTGATAAGGGCAGACTGGGTGGGACTAAAAAGTTCAATGAATCAATTCCAACTTTGCAAGATCTTTTTTTTTTCCCGCAAGAAGTTGAAATTGACTGATTGATTGAACCTTTTTTTTTTTTTTTGCACACGGCGGCGGAGGCCTAAACCGAAAAGGTTTTATAAAACCCAGCTGAAGGCTTAGGACTGGGGCGACGGCGTGCATGCCCACAGAGAGGGTTCTGAGTGCCACCTCTGGCACCCATGCCATAGGTTCGCCACCACTGATCTATGGCTTTAGTTCCGTGAAACCAAGGGATATCATTAAAAAAAAAGATACAAATAAAATGGTGGTGTAGATCTATTAAACAATATGGAGATAGAAGCTAAACATGCCCAACAATTTCCCATGGCTGGGGGGGGGGAAGGGAAGGTGAGGGTTCTTTGTCCCCACAGCAACTTGCAAAAAGCAGTTTAAAGTCAGGCACAGGGAACCAGAGCGACACTGTGAGATGATCAGAATTACTTCTTTATTGCTGCTAACCTATTTACAAGAATCTCGCTGGACTGACTGCCTTCTCTTAGGGACAGCCAGATGAGGGCTTCAGGAATTTTGGGGGGAGGTCAGGTCTGGGTCTCTACAAGGGGGCTCTAAGCTTGTCAGTCTCTTCACTCCTCCTCCCATTGTAGCTGGAGAATCCACCACCGGGAAAAGAAGAAACATAGCGGGCCTCTATTATGCAACTGATGTCCCTGTCCTGGAGCATGAAGAAAGAAAGAGAGAGAGAGAGAGCGTGTGAGCAGGGAGATGTTTTTACCTTTGGCTGCCTCTATCAGGATTCCCAAGCCATTATGCTCAGTCACAATCATCCTGGCATGATCATGGGCATGGCCAAAGGGCACCCGGATGTCATCATCAAAGGTCATGATGCGGAGCCCTGAACAGGCCTCTCGGACCACGTCTGCCCGGTCCCCGTGCCGGACTATAGCCTCAGCCAGTAGGGCAAGGATGCCCCCTTTCACAAGATCCTGCCGATTCTGCTCATGTTTCAGGCAAGCATAGCGGATGCAACGGATCCCAGCCAAAGTGAGGTCGGCGTCATCTCGACTCTCCTGAATCACTCGCAGCAACAGCTCCTGCCCGGGCACGTCGAGGAGGTCAGGCTGGCCATCCAGGAGGGCAGACAGGGCTTGGAGGGCTTTTAAAAGGGAGCATCGCTCTTCTGATGCCAGCCGACAAGCCGCCAGGACGGCAGGATAGGCACCTTTCTGGGCAGCCAGATAACGGACCGACAGCTCCTGTCTGCACTGCCTGGCAAAGTTCACCAAAGATTCATCCACCTTGCTTGAATCCGCATCGATGACGGCTTTCTGGAGACAGTCCAATATCTACAGAAGACAAAGGGGGGGGGGAGGAAAGAGTGGAATATCGCTTTATTCTCCGCACTGCATCCTCCTCCTCTTCAATTCTGCAGTCATTCGGAAAACATCTAAAAACCTTTCCAGAATTGGAGGATGCACAGATGGCAGCGGCTTCAATCCCTTCTGTTCATTTGCCTCTTTTCTCTCCGTGCTTTCCATTTGGCTTTTCTCACCACCCTGCTTCTCTGTTTTTCTTTAAACCCCAAGACTTTTAAAGCCGGATTGAAAATATTCCGTTCTTTGCCTTTTTTAAAAAAAAACTCTAGATGTTTTATTATTGTTTTTTATTTTACTGATCTTACGCAAACTGCTTTATGAGGTCTGTCTGAAAAATGGCATTGGAAATACTTTAATATATATACATGCAACATGCAATATCAGGTTAAAGGAGGCTAGATCATGGAGCTTCTACATTTTAAGGCAAATTATACCAAGATCTAGTATCCAATGAGCAAGCAATACGCAAAGGGGAATCTATATCCACAGTGCTATTTTTGTGAGTCCCTAGAGCAGGGGTCTTCAAACTTGGCCCTTTTAGGTCTTGTGGACTTCAACTCTCAGAGTTCCTCAGCTAGCATGCCTGGCTGAGGAATTCTGGGAGTTGAAGTCCACAAGTCCTAAAAGGGCCAAGTTTGAAGACCCCCGCCCTAGAGCTACCTGCATTGATCTACCTGCAAATGGGAAGATGAGCTAACTACAGCTATGTACTGGATCTGATGGACAATCCTTAGCCCTTTCCTGAACAGCATCACCTCACTCACCTGTAAAACCACGTGCTTCTGTTCTTGGCCATTCTCTGAAGCTGGACTGGATACCATCTTTACTATATTACTTAAATCTACGCCTAAAGGAGAGATAAAATAAGGTATCAGACTGAGTTTTCCAGAGTAATTCTCCTATTGTACCCTTCTAAATGCATTGGATTTTAGGTCCCATAAGGCTAGCCATGATCTCAATCTGATAAAAGCTGCACTAAAGACAGATCATGATGGGCAAAAGCTTTTTTTTCTTTTTAGAAAAACTTGTCCAATACCTGAAAAAAAAAACCTCACTGAGGAACTTCCTGACCATTCAGATATTTGGTATTATCAATTAGTAATTTACAGGTAGTTGTTGACTTATGAGCACAATTTGAGCCCAATATTTATGTTGCTAAGCGAGACATTTGATAAGTGAGTTTAGTGAGTTTTGCCCCATTTTATGTCCTTTCTTGCCACAGTTGTTAAGTGAACCACTGCAGTTGTTAAGTGAATCTGGCTTTCCCCCTTGACTTTGCTTGTCAGAAGGACGCAAAAGGGCATCACGTGACCCTGAGACACTGCAATCGTCGTAAATATGAACCAGTTGCCAAGCGTCTGAATTTTGATCACGTGACCATGGGGATGCTGCAACGATTGTAAGTGTGAAAAACAGTCATGTCACTTTTTTCATTGACGTAACTTTGAACAGTCACTAAATGAACTGTTGTAAATTGAGGACTACCTGCATTTTCTCCTTGGGGTGACTATATGGGCAAGGCAAATGTCTTTTGTTAAGGTGATGCTCAAATTATTCCAGCATTTTGGGGAATGGCTATACTGTGTTCACACAAGAACATTTTGATATACTGAGTTTATTTTAACAATATTTAATTTAAGAATAAAATCAGATCATTGTCAGCATTGGGAATTTTTTTCCCCTCTGGTCTCGTAGTTCTGATTGCCATAAGCCGCATCAATTCTCCTGGGAAGCCAAGTGATTGTTGGAACTGGTGCCTATGTCTAAAAAGATGACACTTCACGTAGGTCAATATTCCTGTCCTTCATGCCGTACCTTGAGATTCAAACTGCTGGATGGCTTCATTCAATGCCTCTTCCGGATCCATTGCAAACTCAACGATATTTTCCTGTACCACATCATCAAACGTCTCTTGGGAAATCCACTTGGCTGCCATATTGGCCTGCAGACAAGAAAAATAGCTAGATATTTTATGTAGAGGTATAATTAAAAAAAAATTAAAAGGAGACTGGCATAATAAAAGTAAATTAAGCCAGGAAATGATGAGCTTAGCAGAGAGGTATGGATAAAATAGTGACTCCCCTCTCTCTCAAAAGCCAAAATTCAAGGCTATGCAATGGTGCAGGAAGAAAATAAACCCTATTTTTATACATAATGAATTAAGTCAGTGGTTCTCAACCTGTGGGTCGCAACCCCATTTGAGGTCGAACGACCATTTCACGGGGGTCACCAAACAACGCAGTCCATTTTTTCCCCCTTTTCCTTAGCTGTGCTACTCCCTTTTATTCTATTGGCTTTTGAAAGCCAATAGAATAGACTCTCTTGAATAGAGTCTAATTCTATTGGCTTTCAAAAGCCAATAGGAATTATCCAGGCTGTCTCTGCCCTGCTGAGCCTGCCAAAAGCCCCAGTCTGCAAATGGTGCTGCAAGTTGTCTGCAGCGAAGGCGAGCTGTCTGGAAGCTTCCACCCCTCCCTGCTGAGCAACTACTAAAAATGTAAGTAAAAGAGGGCCAGGGGTGGGAGGTGGGAGGCCGGCGGGCGCAGGGAGGGTTGCTGGCAAGCGGGTGCCTGACCTCCCTTGGGCTGGGCCAGCTGGTGGCCCAGCCGGTGATCGGCCTGCGCCGTCTCTGCCGCTTGCCAGCTACGCCTCGGCGTGGCGCTCCCGGGCAGGGAAAGTCCTCGACTTATGACCAGTTGGGTAGTCCTTGACTTATGACCGGTGGGTAGTCCTTGACTTACGACCGGTTGGGGGTCGCGGCATTAAAAAGGTTAAGAACCACTGAATTAAGTGGAATTCCTCACCACAAAGTAAGGCAATGGCCCTTATTTTGCTGACCTTTTGAAGTCAGGACATATTTGTTGTGGGTATTAGCAACTCTAGAGTAACAGAAGTTCCACATACAAAATCATATCAGCAGTTGGGAGCAATGGAAGGGAACAGCCTAATCCATACCCACCCGGGGTCTTTTGTGCTCTCTAACCTGGTTTGTTTTCTTGCAGACGTTTCATTACTCAAACTAGGTAAAGTCATCAATGCTAGTCCATAACCCATATCTTAACTATTAGGAACTACAGTGGATGGGAAGCTGGACTAGATGTACTACAGGCAATTTTATGATTCTCTTGAATGGCCATTTATATTTTCCTAATAAAGAGCCTCTTGATGCGGGTGAAGAAGGAAAGTGCAAAAGTTGGCTTGAAACTCAACATTAAGAAAACCAAAATCATGGCATCCGGCCCTCTCAATTCCTGGCAAATGGATGGGGAAGAAATGGAGGTAGTGACAGATTTTATTTTTCTGGGCTCAAAGATCACCTCAGATGGGGACTGCAGCCAAGAAATTAAAAGACCCTTGTTCCTGGGGAGGAAAGCTATGGCAAATCTAGACAGCATACTAAAAAGCAGAGACATCACCCTGCCAACAAAAGTACATATAGTCAAGGCCATGGTTTTCCCAGTTGCAATGTATGGCTGTGAAAGTTGGACCATAAGAAAGGCTGAGCGCCAAAGAATTGAGGCCTTTGAACTATGGTGCTGGAGAAGACTCCTGCGAGTCCCTTGGACTGCAAGGCGTTCAAACCGGTCAGTCCTAGAAGAGATCAACCCCGACTGCTCTTTAGAAGGCCAGATCCTGAAGTTGAAACTCAAATACTTTGGCCACCTAATGAGAAGGACGGACTCACTGGAGAAGGGCCTAATGCTGGGAAAGATTGAGGGCAATAGAAGAAGGGGACGACAGAGAATGAGATGGCTGGATGGAGTCACTGAAGCAGTAGGTGTGAACTTAAATGGACTCCAGAAGATGGTAGAGGACAGGAAGACCTGGAAGAACGTTGTCCATGGGGTCGCAATGGGTCAGACACGACTTCACAATTAACAACAACAACAATAAATAAAAATTGTTCCATTTTTTTTTTCAAGTATGGAACCTGAACATCTCCCCTGACCATAACATTTCTAGTGTTCCTGCTTTGTTGGTGTTTCACTCTCTCCAGAACTACTTCTACCAGCCTAATCTGACAACACACAGTTTCACACGATACTGGCTATTAAATTAACCCTTTTTCTGGATTCACACGATAGACAAAGCTATAAACAAAAAAGAATAATAATAAAAAAAGGTTAGTACTGTACTAGCCAAGATTACCAGGTATTTTCCAGCCTGGTAAAGCATCCTATGTGAGCACAGTCAATCTGGGCACAGATATGTATATCCAGATGTAAAAGGGATTTGCATATACCCTCTGTTGAACACATCTGTTTTCATGTGGTAGGTTTTAAAGCCCAATCTCTGCTCTCCTTCAGTTGAAAGCAATAAGAAAAAGAGAAAAGGCAACATGACACCCAGGAAATCAGCCGCCAGATTCTTCTTCAAAGTATCCCCCATGTGGCTCTTCCACTGTTAGAGCAATTATTTTCCATTAGTTTTTGTACAGTATTTGTACTGTTTCATCAGAGATTCTACCCTAACCAACCAATGCATCCAACGAAGTGACATGCAGCTCACAAAAGCTTATGGTTTTCAATAAAATATGTAAGTCAGAAAAGGCGCCACTAGACTCCACATTTTTTGCATCAAAGACTAACCTGGGTCACCTCCTATACCAGTGATGGTGAATCTTTTAGAGACCGAGTGCCCAAAAACTGCCCCCCCATCCCCACTCTGCCCTGCCCACTGGGCCACCCACCACCTCCATGCCCTGCCACCGATCACCCAGGCAGCCGAGCAGCACTATGGTGGCCATGCCCTCCGCCCATGCCCCGCAGCATCATCTGCGCGCAACGGGACGCAAGGGCGGAGTCTTGTCCCCGCTGCCCAGCTACCATGTCCTTGGCTCCGCTGCTTTGTATGGGCCGCGCCCAGGGTCAACCCTCCTCTGTGGGGGGCTGCTGGTGAGGGGGCCGTGGGAGGAGGTAGGGCTGGGGAGATGGTGCGTGTGCCCATAGAGAGGGCTCTGAGTGCCACCTCTGGCACTTGTGCCATAGGTTCGCCACCACTGTCCTATACAGACTCTAGAGTGATTTTCATAAAAGCAATAAAACATATACTCTGAAACCATGGGGGGGAGAGAGAAGAAGGGAGGGAGGGAGAGAGAGAGAGAAAACATGACATCATCCTCAACCCCATCTAATCATCTCCGCTCATAGGGCACTTTATTCCAAAAGATCTACAGAAAAAGATCTGTCTTGACAGCTTTCTTAAATGTTAGCTAGGAGGGAGCCATCATATCTAGGGTGGAGGGAACTATTGCATAATCAAGGGCTGCAACCGAGGACTGCCTCCTGGCCCACAATTCTTAAACCTCTGGGCAGGGGATCAAAATATGCCTTCCCAGCCGTGTGTATGAGAGATAGACATATTCTACTTAAAGAAGACGGTTCCAGAAGCAGTGAAAGCCCAGCATATGATCAATAAAAATAAGGTTCTATTCACTGGTTTTTCAATCTGAAAAAAAAAGATATGCGCACAGCAAAAAGGAGCTGGGGACAAAGAAGCATAAAGTAAACATGTCTGAAAGTTAAATAACACAGCAAAGAGCTGGAAAGGAAACAGTTCAGGTCCCTGTTCCTTATCTTATCTTATCTTATTCCGCAGTTCGATGAAATGGCTGGTAGCTGGAAAAGGCTGAGAAGGAGGAAGCCCAAAGCCACCACTTGCCTTTTATTTGAACAGAGGAGACAGTATCATGCTTGACAGAGCACTGATCTCAGTTGATGCAAGGAAGCAAAGCACCTCTATAGTTCAAAGCTGACCTCTGGCAACAGGGAATGGATTTTCCTTTGCAGAAAAACAAAGATGCTTTTCCCCAGAACAGTCTCCCCCCCCCCAAAAAAAAAGAAAGTGCAAGAGAAACAGGCTAAAGCTATGCCAAAGGTGGTTTGGCAGAATGCCCAGTGAGGTGACCCCTGCAAGAAGAACCATCTTAGAAATTTCCTCCCCAAATATGGCTTAACATCGACCGTGCTAGAGCATCACTAAATGATCTGTATTTCAGTAACAACCATGATTTAACACAGTGAAGGAAAGACATCTGTTTGCACCATGGATTACAATGAAAATCACCCATCGATAGGCTACTGTTCAAATGTATACTGACTGCTGTAATGCTGAACACATACCATTTCAGCCAAACAAGACCTTTACAATTTGCAGAAATAGCTTCCAATTTTGCTGCCCCCACACATTTTCTGGACTTCAGATCCGCACTGCATTTATGAATACTGTGAATTAAAGATTTCTGTCCTGATTTTGTGGCATAGACATGCTTTAAGGAAGAGCGGTCATATACTACAGAAACCAATATTATATAGTTTATTCTTTACAAGAATTCTTGCTACAAATTATGGGAAATACTATAGTCAATCCTTACTCGTGCAAGGATGTAAGCATTACCACCATCGCCTGTCTTCGTACATAGCCACTATTAATAATGCAGTTATTATCGTTTGGCTTACTGCATTTCATTTCTCTGACCTCACTTTTTATGATTCTCCTTTCCAGTCACACACACACAAACACTTATAGCTCAGTAAGACATTTCATGCATCTGATAAACTAGACTGTAATCCTCAAAGACCCCAAAGATATATGCTTATTTTTTACAGATCATAACGATCTACATTTATTTATTTGCAAGGATTAAGCTGCTTATTAAGGTTTGGGATCAACTTTCATGAATGGAATTAAAAGCTTCTGAAATTCACTGTGCGCAACTGACATGCTCAGAAAGACAAGGTCATCCCTCAGAATATAGTATCTAAATGACAAGCTATCAATACACCACTCTGACAGTATGTTTTTTTAAAACTGCTCTTGTTGTATTCAGACTCAGTTCTCCTCTCTGTGTACTGGATATTTATTTTATATAGTTTTTAAGAAGAGATTGGACAACTATTTGTCTGAAATGGTATAGGGGTTGAACTAGAAGACCTCCAAGATCCCTTCCAACTCTGCTATTAAGTAAACATAAGATGAAAAAACACATTGTGTTCAATCGTGGCTTTGCAAATCAACCCAGGTTCACCTTACTTTTCACTGGGAGCTTCTAGAACTGAAGATTTACTATAGCAGTGATGGCGAACCTTTTAGAGACCGAGTGCCCAAACTTCAACCCAAAACCCACTTATGTATTGCCGGGTGCTGGGGCGTGGGCGCCAGGTGGGTGTGGCTACAGTGGTCATGGCAGATGGGTGGGCGTGGCCTGGGTGGGCACGGCCAGCTCAATGTTGCTCCTGGGGAGGGACGCCTGTGGGGATCGGGCAGGGTTGGGGGAGATCCAGGGGTCTCTGGTGGGTGGGGCAGTGGGCAGGAAGCTGGTTGTGCAGGGTGAGGTGAGGCAGGGCGGGGGTGCCATGTTGCAGGGCAAGGCGAGGAATGGGCCAGGCAGCGGCTTCCTGACACCATCGGCCCCTGCACACAAAGGCCAGCAAGCACATGGGTGCTGGGATGTATCCAGCCACATGGGACCTCGGCAAGTTAGCAGGCAGCTGGTTGAAGAGGATGGTTGCCATCTCTGGAGCATGGCACGCATGCCCACAGAGAGGACTCCGAGTGCCGCCTCTGGCACGCGTGCCATAGGTTTGCCACCACTGTACTATAGAATGTCATAAAAATACCTACTTTGCAATAGTGGGAAAACCTATTTGAAATATTAGCCTCTGTTGATTAAATGAAATATTTCTCCTTGCGATATTTAAAATACAACAAAACGCAAGAATGGGGAGACTGCAAAAATACACATCCCAGCTGTTTAATCTCCTAAACATTAGGCAAATGTTTTTCAGTAATGCATTGCTAGTGGAAAGCATCTTCTATTATTGCTATTGAGGCCCTTCCTAGCAATTAAGTCTTATCTGTGCAGAGATTTGATCCAAAGGTAATTATTTAGCAATAAAAGTTTGTGGGTTCCTATTTGTTAGAATTTGGATTCATATTGTGTCCAAAGGAATGTTTAACCTAAATTGATTATGTGCCATCAAGTCGGTATCTACTCTCAGCAACCACACAGGTTCTCTTCATGATTTGCCTAAATAAGGGGTCTTCAAACTTGGTCCTTTTATGACTTGTAGACTTCAACTCCCAGAATTCCTCAGCCAGGCACGCTGGCTGAGGAATTCTGGGAGTTGAAGTCCACAAGTCATAAAAGGGCCAAGTTTGAAGATCCCTGGCCTAAATAGCTGTAGGGTGGATTTTTTTCTAATCCAACTTTGTATTGATAAAGGAACCATACTTTATTTTCATCATACTTCCAGCTGTCAGGAATCTCACCTACAAGGCTGATTAATCCTTGACCACACAGACTTACAAAAATCATATTATGTTTAAATACACTACAAATCACTCTGTGGCCTAGGAAGTCATCACCCCCATAATCTTTTTAAGATTCAGCTGTGGGTTCAAAACAGAGAAGACTTTGAGGTTGTTAGGAGGATAAGGAGGGACAGGAAAGAGCAGAATTAGGTTTTCAAAAATAAAAAGGGATGTACAGGTAGTTCTCGACTTGTAACAGTTCGGTTAGTGACCGTTCAAAGTTATAAGGGCACTGAAAAAAGTGACATGACCATTTTTCACACTTATGACTGGTGCAGCATCCCTATGGTCACACGATTTTTCATTTGGATGCTTGACAACCGGTTTATATTTATGACGGTTGCAGTGTGTCCTGGGGTCATGTGACCCCCTTTAGCAATCTTCTGACCAGCAAAGTCAATGGGGAAGCCAGATTCACTTAACAACCGTGTTACTAACTTAACTGCAATGATTCACTTAACAAATATGACAAGAAAAGTGGGCAAAAACTCACTTAACAGATTCCTTCCTTAGCAACATAAATTTTGGGCTCAATTGCTGTCGTAGGTCGAGGACTACCTATACTGTGTATGTGATACGGTATCTCAAGATTAGCCCTCAGGGCTGGTAGGAAAAAAAAAGAAGTGAAATAACCCAGAGAATGAAAAAAATCACCTCCCAGGATATGCAAAAAAACACCCATTTTTTTCCTTTTTGACGTTAAGCTTGCGGCTTTTCACCATTCCGATTGGAATAAAGAACTCTGCCAAAGCACGCCTACAAGCATATGGCATTCTTTCTCGTTACGGTCTTCGCGGAGGAATAGCAAAGGGACCCCCCCCCCCCAAAAGAGGGTCTCCCCTCCCCAGCCTCGCTTACCTGCTCTGACCCTCGTCTTCGCCCGCGACAAGCCCAGCGCTACTGCCAGGAAACCCAAAGCCGGCGGTGCGTAAAAAAGACGTGCTAAGTGCAGCAACTGCGGCAACGCGTTCTTTTTGGCCGCTGCTCGCCACCGTACAATTGAGACCACGTGATGCAGGGGAAAGCGACTTCGCCAATGGCAGCGCACGGCAGGGGAATTTGAACTACGCATGCGTACGCCAGCACAGTTCTCCAGGGTTTTTAAAGGAAGGTGGGACGAACGTTAATGGAAGCTTCCTGGAGCTGAACTGCGGAGGAGAGAAAAAAAAAAAAAGAACACCGGCGGATCGTTAGGAGGCAGCGACCATCTCGATCTCTTTACTGCCACCTAATGGTTGCCCGAATTTTTTGCAAGCCAGATGTGGTGGGCTAAAGTTGTGAACTTGACGAAATAGCTATCTCCACGTTTGAAAGCATCGGCTCTGGTTTCTTTTTAAAACGGGTGAGAAAGATAACTTGATACTTTTTTTTAAAGATTACTTTATTTCTCCCACCCACGGAATTTCTAAAAAGAATTTAAATTTTTCTTCCAGGCAGCGTTTCGCGCATGCGCAGAGCGGCAGAAACGGCGACGGGAAGCTCTTTTTGCGCATGCGCTGTTGGATAGCGTCATTTCATTAGCTCATTAACGAGGTCCTCCTGTTTGCGCGTGCGCACGAAGTCGGTTCTGGACAGAATTGAAGGGTTGTTTTTTTTCCTTTTTTTTTTTTTTTTTTAAAAAAAAGAGCCGGGTGAGTTAGGAACCTGATCGATGCTTTCTGCGCGTGCAAAAGAGAAAGTGCAAATCCGCCGCAGCAGAGAAGGAGCTCCGGCGCGCGCAGACGGGCGGGCGGGCGAGAGGGTAGAGGCGCTTGGCGCATGCGCAAAAGAGGGGAAAAAATCGGCCCTGGTTAATGGAGGCTGCTTTATGCTAGAGGTTGGCGCGGGTGCTTCTCTTCTTCCCCGTCGCTTGGTAAGCTTTGGGGGTAAAGCAGCAGCGGAAGTCGGAGCAGTGGGGAAGAGCGGGGGAGGAAATGATATCCACTGACCAGGCAGAAAAAAAACCCCAGTCTGGCCTGGCTCCTCTGGCTTTGGGAAGGGTTTTTCAGAAAATGCTATTTTACAGTCCACAGTCTGTGGCTAGTTTGGTAGGATAAATGTTAAAAAGGAGGGTCTGTTCGTGGGGGACTCGCTTGTTCTTGCAGGTGCCGAAAATTGGCAGACAGGCAGTCCTCGACTTACAACAGGTCATTTAGTGACCGCTCAAAGCTACAACGGCACTGAAAAATAGGACTTAATTAATTACCGTTTTTCAGACTTAAAATGCCTTTTTGTAGCATCCCCATGATCAAAATTCAGATGCTGGGCAACCGGTTCAGATTTATGACCGTTGCTGTGGGCTGGGCATCGTGTGATCCCCTTTTTGCCACCTTCTCACAAGCAAAGTCCATGGGGAACTCAGATTCGCTTAACAACTGGGTTGCTAACTTATCAACTGCAGTGATTCACGTAACAGCTGTGGCACGAAAGGTCATAAAATGGGGCAAAGCTCATTTAACAAATGTCTCATTTAACCGCAGAAATTTGGGGCTCAGTTGTGGTTGTAAGTTGAGGGCTATCTGTATTTAACATTTGTCTGGCTTTGTGATTCTTCTTAGCGCTCACCAATGCTTTCCCGTCACATGGGTGTTGATCTGAGAGGAAAATGTTTAAGAATATGGCTTTTTAAAAAAACTTTCTAGGTTTTTTTATCATATTGCAGATGCTCCTCCCCTGCAAGGTAACATCGTCTGGATGTCTGTAACCATCATCACTTCTAGCATGGATATTCTTTTTTTTTTTTTTTAGTTTCTTGGTAATGTTGTAGACTAATCTAGAATCTTTTTGAACAAAATATTACAGGGAGGGGACTTGTCCTCGGTCCCTGCTCACTTTCTCTGAAAAGAGACACTGCATTTGCTGTGGGGTAACTTTGCTGGTGAGTTTTGAGAATTATTTTTTTAGCAGAGGGAATGAATTTGAAATTGCCAAAAAATGAGAAATGTAAGACTTTGACAAAAACCGGTACTTTTGTGGATCAATTGAATTTCAGTGACAAATCTAAATACAGGTAGTCCTCACCTTACAACCACAATTGAGCCCAGAGTTTATGTTGCTAAGTGAGAAATTTATTAAATGAGGTTTGCCCCATTTTATGACCTTTTTTGCCACATTTGTTAGGTGAATCACTGCACTTAAATTAGTAACAAGATTGTTTAGTAAATCTGGCTTCTCCATTAACTTTGCTTGTCATGATCCTGAGACACTACAACCATCATAAATATGAACCAGTTGTCAAGCATCCGAATGTAAATCATGTGACCATGGAGATTCTGCAACAGTCGTTAAGTGTGAAAAATGGGATTCAGCTGGTTTGCACCAGTTCGGCAGAACCGGTAACTAATTTTTTCTAGAAGCGGCATCCACACACAGAACTGGTTGTTCATATATTTGAATCCCACCACTGGTCATGAGTCACTTTTTTCAGTGCTGTGGTAACTTTGAACGGTCACTAAATGAACTGTCGTAAGTCAAGGACTACCTGTCCTCTACCTGCAATACTGAAGAAAGAATGCAGAAAAATGATATGGGGACCTAGGACTCTTCGGATAGGGGGCTGCATGAAAACTTCCACATTCACCAATGCCTTTTGCAAAAATTCAACATAAAGTCAGGATTTCAAATTCAATATAATTGTAATTGCTAATCTGACACCAAAATAATCAAAGATTCAAAATACCCATAATATATATAGTATATAGCATGTCTGTTAAAAGTAACAGTAAAAATCATTTCTAGTTGGAATACCTTGTTCATGGCAAAAGGAAAGGCCGTTAATTAAACTAACCACTAAACTCTTTACATCTTTGCAAATGACACTTGACCCTCTTTGTTAATCATTGTTTTCATACCTGAGGGCATGATATATCTTTCTATATTTTCAATACTCCCATTATTTTTAACATCTCTTAAGAAATGGACAAATATTAAAAATTCATGCTGATCAAATATAGGTAGTCCTCAACTTACAAGCACAACTGAGCCCAAAATTTCTGTGGCTAAGCAAGACAGTTATTAAGTGAATTTTGTCCCCATTTTATGACTTTTCTTGCCATAGTTATTAAGTGAATCACTGCAATTAAGTTGGTAAAACAGTTAAGTGAATCAGGCTTCCCCATTGATTTTGCTTGTCAGAAGCTTGCAAAAGGGGATCACCTGACTTCGGGACACTGCCACTGTCGTAAATATGAGTCAGTTGCCAACCATCTGAATTTTGATCATGTGACCGTGGGGATGCTGAAATAGTGATAAGTGTAAAATACAGTCATAAGTCACTTTTCTCAGTGCCCTTATGACTTTGAATGGTGACTAAGTGAACTGCTGTAAGTCAAGGACTACCTGTAGTAATTAATTCTGTTTTAGCCCACGTGTGAATTACTTTATTTCCAATGGATAATACTGCTAGGCTGCAAGTTTACCTTTTTTTTCTATTACAATTTATTTCTTTGTGGTAATCTTTGATTCTAAAAGAGAAAATAGGAAAATTTGGTCTTCTACGTATTATTGGCTTTTCTTGGTTGTAAAGAACAAAGGGAATTGTAAAAAGCTTTCAGATATATTGGGTAAGATATCCTGCTATTGAAAAGGGAATCTCCTCAGTTCAGGAGGAGGAGTAAATTTACCTTTTTTCCCCATCAATAACTAAAGCCACTCAATGGAGCTCCGTTTAGACCAGTGTTTCTCAACCTTGACATTGCTGGCTGTGGAATTCTGGGAGTTGAAGTCCACATGCCTTAAAATTGTCAAGGTTGAGAAACACTGGATTAGACAGTCAATCCTAAACTCTTCTGTACTCTTCCCAGCCTTTGGCTTATCCTAGATCAGTGGTTCTCAACCTGTGGGTCGGGACCCCATTTGGGGTCGAACGACCATTTCACGGGGGTCGCCAAACACCGCAATCCGCCATTTTTTTCCCCTTTTCCTTAGCTGTGCTACTCCCTTTTATTCTATTGGCTTTTGAAAGCCAGTAGAATAGACTCTCTTGAATAGAGTCTAATTCTATTGGATTTCAAAAGCCAATAGGAATTGTCCAGGCTGTCTCTGCCCTGCTGAGCCCGCCAAAAGTCCCATTCTGCAAACGGTGCTGCACCAGTTGAGTAGTTCTCGACTTACGACCGGTTGAGTAGTCCTTGACTTACGACCAGTTGGGGATCGCAGCATTAAAAAAGGTTGAGAACCACTGTCCTAGATAATCCAAATGCTGTGAAATATTTGAGGCTACAACACCCATCCCCACAAATTGGAGTCCAGACAGTAAATGCCCCAGGCTGCAGAACCCCACTAGGTATATCTTCAGAATTATGTTTTTACAGTCTCAAGGTGATTACTGGAGGTAATCAGAGGTCCCCAACCTTTTGGGCACCAGGGACCGGTTCTGTGGATAAAGGTGCGGACCGGAGAGTGCATGGGTTTTGTGTTCTGCCTGCATCCCACGGACGGGGCTTTGCTTGTTTGTGTGGATCGATTGCTGGCATGCCATGGACCGGTTCTGGGGACCCCTGCCTTATAGGAGCTGCACTCAGTTTCTCTAATATGTTACTTCTCTAGACAAGATTTCAGAAGTAGTTTTGTTTCCTAGGCTGAGAGAGAGTTACTGGCCCAAGCTCACGCATCTAAGGCAGGGCTAGAACTCAACACTTCCATTTTCTAGCCTGGTGCCTTCGCCACTACACCAGCTTGGTTCTTAGTTGATCATATGGGTTTAAAACCGGACAAAGGAGCAGTAGTTGTTCTTTCATCTGGTCTGAGTCCCCAGGTATGGAAAAATCATGATTTCAGAAAGCCAAGATGTACATTGAGTAGATCCAACCAAAGACTTATCTTACCTTCCTTCCCCATTTGTTAGAGGACGTATCTAACACCAACCTGTGTGGACCAGAATGGATTCTAATGAAGTCCAGCATTATAAATAAAGAATTGCTAACTTTTTTCCCCCCTTTCTCTTTGCCATTTCTCTTTAATCTCTTTTCCTTTCCCAAGTGAAGTAATTCCTGTGTGTGAAAAAAGTTGCTCCTATTC